CCTGTTACTTGGTAGTATTTTGATTTGGACGATACATTGCTAAGTAATTATGAATCTATATAATATAATTATAATTTAGTTATGTTACATTTTATCAATGCTCCATATCCCAGAGACCACAGACGAACGTACAACACAACAGATGAATACATACACTGCACAGGATATTGAAACTAACAGACTTCAATCTCGAATATCATCAGCCGGCTTTGAACCGGCTTACAATGGTTACAATGTAGAATGTCCGTACTAAGCCTTAGTATTAATCTGTTTCTAGACTAAAGCCTAACACACCCGCATTTCGCTTGTCATCTGCAAGCCCTTTGAAGGTAAATATAATCTGTCGGCGGTATAGACACCGGTCAGCTGAATGCAGGGTGAATTTCCAACAGTAGGTTTCCTTGTTTAGCATCAACTATGTAGGGATCGAACATAGACCGCGTCTATCAAGATTATATACCTGTGACACAAGTTACATATACACAAAATAAATAGTTATTATATTACTTGTATGACTGACATTACTATCACACTGTTATCAGTTGAGATAAGATAGCGGCCTTACCTTTCTTCCAATACAGGTTGATGACAGCGAAGAATATGCCTGAACATAGCAATACAACTACACAGAGCCAGTACTGAAACAAACGAAACATTATTAGTTTAGAACATGTGCACTTGTAACATAACAATTACAGAAACACGATAAAAAGAGGTAATAGTCGTAATGTCGCTAGCTTTGTTATTAATCTTAGCAAATGTATGAAGCTGTAGCTAAATAAGTTAATTGGACTTGATGTGACACCTATCCTAATTAGTTCTTAACCTGATCGTACACGCTAAGGCTTTCTCCTACAATGTAGTTGATAGACAATATCACACATTCACACCCTGAACTAAGACGCTACATTATACGTATCTATCTAATTCGGAAATCGAACTAAAATGTAAGCGCTTCACAACCGCACCGCCCTAATCATTATTCTATTCAATTAAGCTATTCTAAAACTGTCTGAGCTCGCTAAGTCACATGATCCGTATCTGCTCTAAGTTTAATTTAATATTTATCTTCTACAAAGTAATTTTAAGTTTAAACATACACTTTTAGATCTGATAATGGCAGGGTATGACATTAAAGATGCTAATGTCGTCACCTTAATGTCAAGCCTGTCCATCACGGTTCAAATGACATTAATAAATAGAAAATATGCACGATATCATATATCTATTTTGTATACATATCGATCAGACTGATGTTGAAAGAAAGAAGTATTGAATACTAACATAACTATAAAACATACATAGATATCTGCCTTCACAATGTGTTGAATATAAGATTCTTACACAGGATACTATCTCATTCAAACACCGAGATTTACTAATCAGTTAAGTAGGTAAAAAGAATTATTAAGACAATATATGAACTAACTAAAGTAACAGAAAAAAATATTCTAAAGGAAATATTTTTCATTCGCAGCGCAACGTTATAAAAAGCACGCAGCAACGGCGGCTAAAAATAGAACCACCCTGTTTTACAAAGCTACTGTTTGATAAACTAAGGGATTGAAATTGTGTACGAGCACAAACCGTACATTGATAAACTCATAACCAATGCTTGCATAGCTAAGTGATTAATATGGTATCCGCGATCCATCAATACAAAGCCGACATGGTTGGTACCAATATTGAACATCCTTTATTTTCACAAAACGTCAGAAATAAATTCACTTGTTTCACTTGTTTCACTTGTTTCACGTCAGTACCATTTACAAAAGCATACGAATGGAATTAATTGCGACTTGAATATCAAACTTATATAACTCGATTTCGTTATTCAAAACAAACATGTTCGTTGAAATATTTTTACTATGTACCTACAGTAATAACAACGTATTCGCTGTGCAAATATACATTGAAAATTGTTTTGAACACAGCGTATGTATGTAGTACCTACACCACAATAATCGCCCACATCAATGGACACGCTGTAATGACCTTTAACAACTTTTGTTTTCTGAATGACACAAATGGAGCCATCAGCTCATAACTTTGTTATTGTGACGTTTCACGTCGCGTGTATACAATTGTGTGTTACAATTTCCGCATCCAGGACAAGTTGCATCGACTTTTTTGGAATACAACGCGCTCGACAGTTTAATAAACTTGGACCACTTTAATCTATACGCTATCACGGTGTCGCTGTCGACACATAACTCGTTTGTGGAACTAGATGGAACCACTATGGTTATGTAACTACCTACCCGAATTCAAAACACAGCTGCATGTGTTCATAGCAATAATAGTGATTGGCATGAGCACTCTTGACTTCTCAATTCTCAGCTCTAACAAATCTTAACCAGTCTGTCGCTGTGTGTCGGATCAGTTACTAAGTGCGGCTAACAACCCACTTGACTGGGACATGTCACTGAATTGCAAAATTGCATTTGATTGCTTCCCTCCAAATCCTGATGACATACAATTCACTGTAATGGACATAATTGGTTCAAAGCAAATCAAGTTTAAAGATTAGCTGACCAATCGATATAAGAGGACCCCCGACTCTCTGTGCTCATTTTCTCTTTGTCTCTATACGCAGGCACTTAGATAACTACATTAGTATATTCGGTTTTAATTTGTCATTTTTTCTTGTATTACGAGTAATCCAATGATATATGTGAACAATCGCAATAGCTTGTAAATACTTTCGCCTGCACATTTGTGTATCCGACAAGTCGCGTCGCTAAGACGTGTTCATTAATAAATCATCACTTGGATTTCACTGTCGCTAGCTTCACTTTCACCTAAGTTAATTGATAAACCTTTATATCAGTTCTGACATAATTCTTCCTTTCATACAACATAACTCATATTTAAATGGTCCTTTCATATATTTTATACTGTTTTTTCAATAAAAACAGTCATCATGTTTGTTTTAAAACATCAAATAACATGTTATTCCGTATTTTTGCAGTTACATTTAAATTTACAGTCCGTCGAATCGCAATATCATACAATTTATTTGTTTTGTGCTTCGAGTTTATTCCTGATATTCGTTTATGTAAACTTGTATTCGACATCAGTATTTGGCTACACATGTACGCTAACAGACTTTTTATTAAAAAATACTGAACAAACTTCATATGCATTCAAACGTTACAAACTAGAACTAGGAAAAGTTGAAAATGGGGCTAACAAAAAGCTTTTGTGACAAACGTTACAGTAGCCCTTTCATTCGCAAAGCTTTTTGGGGAAATAAACAGTAAAACGAAATTTCGCAATACGATTAACGTTTCTATGTGCTTAATTAGAACTGAGCAAACAAACGTATGTACTCTTCCAGTGAGTAAATTGAAGTGTTCCCGAGTATGTAACTGAATAAAGATAACAAAGGGATGCACGGAGCCTGCAAAAATAAACAGGCGAATGCGAACGAAGCAGTAAGTGAAGTAAACAAGACTTGTGATTGAACGCTTCCACCGTCGTAATCCAATGGAACCTCATGTGTTTATTTAAAATGCATTTCCCCTACCAATTACTGGACTTTCCTTTTCTGCACTTAATTTTTAAACACCAACGTACGGTTGCCGGCCAGTTGAACGACTTGTGTTCCACTTACGAAGACGCATTCGTGAATAATATAAAATTAAATTGTCTATAATAAGACCACTTTAAACTGCCAGGCGACAAAGAAACAACGAACTCCGCTAGACGAATCCCTAGTGCTTTAATGGATTTTATAGTAAAAGCAAATATATGATTAACATGGTACGTTCTACAGTTTAGGTCATGTTAATGGAAATGTAATCCGCTTACTCGAAACTCTTCTAAAGTGCATTGCATTACAAGCGTCCATTAGCAATTGGTGAAATAAATTCAACATTATTCCTGGTGTAACCCCAATACTATTGTCTGTCAATATCAAAAAAATCAATAGTTTCAAATGTAAACAGAATACGTAATAGAATATTGGTAAGTAACAAGCAGGCATAATCTTCAGGCAGCCTTTAACGTACCAATAGGTAATTGGTGCTTTTCAAAGACACTAAAATATGCAAGGCTTTATTCGGAAATTTCATGCTGTGACTGACCACTCACTCTGTTTTCCGTTTTGAATACATTTTCTAGCTTGGAAATAGAACAGTCGTAGACTATGACATGGAAAACTATATTACTTACATCTATTTTTAAGCCCATGGACTTTAATGGCTGCTTCGCTTTTCCATACCAAATGAACTTATTACTAAGAATTGAGTAACAGTCAGCAGAGTATAGTGAATTTATTATACATTTAAGATTAAGTTATTACTCAGCCTAAATCGACGCCATTTAATTTATTCACTAGAATCACACATTTAGCTCGTAGAATTATTAACCAGTTATATAGATTATTGGCTCATTACTTATTCACTGTATTATTAGCGGGATAGAGTGCATCAGGTGAAAAGCACAACATATTATAATAAAAACAACAACAACCACAATTGTATAAATTAAGTGTAACAAACATTAAACATTTACAATTAAGTGCTTTCAGGGTTGGTTGATAAAATGAATTTCTGTTTATTTGCATGATTTCATTCGCCGCAAACTTGATTACTTAGCACGTCGGTCCGCCGTGTATTCCGATGGAAAAATCGCTTTTCGATAGTAGCATGTATGTGTATGTAATCTGGATTTATGACCGGTGACCGGTGGCATGACAACTGTCTCGCCCACCTTTGTCCAGGGCTAGTAGAGTGTTTTCTACGGTATTACAACTCAGCCTACGCTGTCGGGGACAATGGACGTACGTGTTTGTTATGTCTTCAAACAAATAGGCAAAGACAAAACACAGACAGTTCAATGGCTTTTTCTCCTTTGTTTGTCAACCAATTTTATTTATTTTTGATACCTATCGACGAACTGTTCGTAAATGAAAAACGTTATAGTAATATTTTACTACAAATCTTGGTAACGAGGAATGTATAAAACATCAAACGAAATGGAATATTAATGTAGCTCTATAATGTGTACGTATGTACTATGTAAAAAAGTTAAAACCAATAAGTAAACAAACATGATAAAATACAGTTCAATTTCGACGAGCAGGCGACCGCAATAATAATTACTCTATTTCGAATATGAAATGACGGAGCAATCTACGCTTTGAGCGGGAAACTAGCTTTATATGTATAAATGTCCTTTACAGTATTATTTTGAATTTAATAAATATCAGTATTTTTCTTTTGACGTCCTGACCCTCCAAGCGGCTTAACTTATTTGCAAGGATTGCAAGCTTCGTTAAGTTGATTCAAAGTATTTTTCCTCTGTAAAATCCTTTTAACATTTTTATAGTTATATTTTAACATCGATTAGTCGCGGTGGCTGCTTCTTATTATTTTTATACCTGACGTAATTCTTAGCTCACCTAGATTGTCGTTAATTGAAGTCTAATTAGACATATCCTCATTATTATACAGTTCCATTGTTATTCGGGGTCAAAATTACAAACCTAGAAAAGATTTTAAATCTCGAATACTTCTTTTGTGTAGATTGTAGAGTCCAGATAGAACTACATTGTATATCTCACACATAGCTATTCACTGTTAAAGGCATGTGAAGAATCGGGTCGAGATGAGATATGTAACGCTGTAGAGGC